GGAACATTCACTGAGAACTGGATGGACGCGGCAAATGGCCAAATGGCGCGGCGAAATTCGTGGCGTTTAGGACGACTTTGACACCTATCACGGGGCGCAAACTTGAAATAGAGTACATTAGTATGGTTAGATGATTGTAATAATCGGCTCTATTTCAAATTTCGGCCCCAGTGTTAGGCGCTAAAGTCGTTTAAATCGCCACGAATTTCGCTGCGCGATTTGCCGCCTCCATCCAGTTCTGGGTGAATGTACCCATACCCGATTTGGGGGAGTCAGAAATCTAATTAAAGGGTCATACATATTTCAAATTACCATGTCTGCCATGAATCACGTTACATATTCCATAGAGTGATGATAAGGTGGGCAACATCTATTCTTGAAACAAGGATGACTGCAGCGATAGCTAAGTGGATAAAAGTAGCAGCTCGAACACTAACGAGGTGTTTAAAAAAATGAAAAAGTTTATGCAGTTCATATGAAACTCATGAAAATTAAAAGAGGCATTCAATGTGCTGAGAAACATGCAGGAACTCGAGGTCACTTGAAAAATAAGAGCCGGCAAAGGAAGAGTGGGAACTCACCGCATTTTCCAGTATATCTACAGCCGATCGTTGCCCTTCCTTCACGTAGAAAATGTGAGTTGTATGCAGGGCACGCGCCGGACAACTATCCACCATCTCATGAAGGCTTCGATAAAATTCGGAACTGCAATGGGCGCAATTAAATGGAAAGCAAAGAACGTGGGGCCAATGCCCAATACATTTTCCATAAGGGAAGTGATCGCTCACCTTTGACCACTGTCGAGACACACAATATCCTTTCCGAATGATACCCGATCTACGAGACCCATGTCGTACAATAGAATTCGAATCGATTTGCAAGTCTGTGGACTTCTGTAACTTGAATGTCGAGGTTACTGACTTCAGTGCTACGCCACATAGTAACTATACTCATGCGCTGCAGGCTACTGTTTCTGTTATCATTAGGATATCAAGCATTTGCTAGTGTAAAAATGGCCATGTAAAAATCGCCTGTTTCATTGTAGGACAAACGTTAGAAACCAACTCAATGTCAGATCAATTCGGATATTCCGCGAAAAATTGAACAACACAAAATAGCTGGATGCATATTATCAATTAAATGAAGTTAGTTATGAAGATGAGATTGGAGCTTAAAAACACCGAGGGGAAGCGCTATTAAGCGCTATTGTTATTTTATATGCTTTTGAACGTGTTGTTGTTCCCGCATGCTAGCTTACCATTCACTGCATCACGAAATACAGCAATTCTGGCCGTTATGTTTATGCTATGCCCCTCCCAAAACCACGTTACTTAATAGGAACTACTCACAACGCTGGTTTCACTCGTCGATCCTCGTCGCTCATCAGAGTCCACCTGTTCCTTTCACGTATTGCCTTCTGCTGAGGTGTTTCGACATCGATTCTTCGCAACTCGGCTTCAATGGCATCCGTTTCCTTCGATGCCTCCAAAGGCCGCACAGAGGTGTCACTGAATAACCTACTTAATACTTCAAGTTGAAATCAGTTTTGTTGATGTTCGCTTGAAGATCCCTATTTTAACATTAACAACAAACGCCACGACCGCTCCCTCACACATGAAAATCTTTAAGCATACGAAAGCAAGTGAGGAATACAAAATCTCTCTAAAAACTTCAATCAATCCCTGGCCACTCTGAAATAATACTTTTCCATAAGTCGCTATACTCCCCATCCCCTTCCCCCTTCCTCACTCAATCAATAAATGATTCCTCAGAAGTCGTTTCGTACACTCCAGAGTCTATAAAATTTCGAAAAACGCTGATGTATAAACGCTTCACAAAAAGTGAGCAACTCACAGTTTACACGAGACCTTGAGAAACTCAGGCGAAATCTCAAACTGGTCTCCAATAGAAGAGTTCGTCGCCTGCGACGGCTGTGGAGAAGCTTTTACATGAGACACTGTTATCTGCGGAGCTGATGCGGCCGATCGTGTTGACTGCACCTCTGGAAGATTTATAAATGTAGCCCAAAGCTTTGAAAAGGAAGAGGGGGTCCATCTAAAACATTTTTGAAATTATTCTCACCTGCTAACATAGATGACGATGACACTGGTACAGTGGTGCGAGATGATTCCACACTGGCTGTTGACACACCGCTGAGTATAGAACCAGCTGCCACGGATTGAGCAATTTTATTCTCCTGGCTTCCTTTAGAAATAGTGGAACTTCCCGACACATTGGACGCAGCTAAAGAAAATTTCAAAATAGATATGTTCTTGAAGGAGAAGAGCAAGAATAGGGACATAAACATTTTAAAAGCCGAAGGGAGATGCATTCTTGTGCTCATGACTTAAGCCCAATCTGCAACTATTAAGACGAATAAAGGAAACTGTAGACGGATAGATTTTATTGTCGAGATAGTGTGGCCACGTAATCCGCGATCCTTTACAATTGAGCTTCACACCTGTTATCGTAGCACTGAGGGGCATGAACCCAGTGTGGTTGCAACACTGTGAATGGGTTACTTTTTTGAGAATGAGATAATGTTTCTTTCAATTCTCCGTTCACATGAAGTGCAATAATGTTCACTCATACTTCCTTGCTTTCACTCTACCCTGCTTATATAATTCGCTAAGTGTGTCTGTTGGTGTGTCGGTGTGTGTTTGACCGGAAATTCATAACTCCTAATCCCGTGGACCTAGAAAGCCCAAATTTGGTAGCAGTACATGGGGCAGCACGGGAACACTTATGGCAGGTGGCAGGGCCGGACTCCGCCCACGGGGGCGGGGCGTGCGCGATAGAAATTTTGGGTCGCAAACACATGGCTCCTGTTTACGTGGATCTATAGAGTTTAAATTCGGTAGGAGTACGGGGACAAGGAGGGGAACACTCATGGCAGGGGGCAGGGCCAGACTCAGCTTGCAGGGGGCAGGGTTTGTGCAGAGTAAACATGAGCGAAAATTCGTAACTTCTGTTTCTGTGGACCTTTAGAGTTCAAATATGTAAGATTACAGCTTTTCGTATTAACAGTGGAAACTCGGCTTTTTAATAATGGTGTAGGATATGGAGGGATACTAGGTACTCGGTGACAAGAACCGATGATAACTGATAAAAGAAGATAAGTGGCCTGAGAGAGCAAGTGCCACCTGCCGATCGAATTCCTAACGCCTTCGGCATTTGCGATGTAGCTTTGGCTGTTCAGTATGTTTCATTCGATAAGATGAGATGGTAGAGTAGGGTGACAAAGGGAGTGATAAGTGCAGTTATAGGGGCCTATTAGCGGCATTACGATAGGCAGGGTAGAATTTTGTTCATTTCTTGCTATTAGATTACGATCGCTACAGCAAAGTTTGTGACTTGATGAAGGNCGATAAGATGAGATGGTAGAGTAGGGTGACAAAGGGAGTGATAAGTGCAGTTATAGGGGCCTATTAGCGGCATTACGATAGGCAGAGTAGAATTTTGTTCATTTCTTGCTATTAGATTACGATCGCTACAGCAAAGTTTGTGACTTGATGAAGGCTCCTCATCGTTCGATACCATTTGCGACAAAATTAACCGACAGCCAGTTATTTGGAACTCTGAGCTAATGTTATCTCTGAGAAGTAAAAATTTCATTGATAACATCTGATATGGTGTTATCATCACACAAAATATTTGTAAGTACCGCCCAAGGCTTTGGTTACCTAATAGTTCAATCTTTATTGGGTATTCATCTCCAAGACGAGAGCAGAAGATCGAGACTTCCAATTAAAGACATAAGTACCGACTTTCACTAAATACCAATACCCTGTTAGTCCTGTGTCAAACTTCGTGTACAGGAAAATACTATCATTTGCTTCGAAGAAGGGGTGGAGAGTTAGCTGGGCGGCCCGACTGGTGTAAATATAATACTTCTCATTATTTCTCGATGCGTAGGTACATGGTGGTGCAGGCTGTGGCTAGGCACTCTATCACACACACACATGGTCACGGTTTCGAATGCCAGATCGATAACCGCCTGGGCCAACCAAACCTTCCATCCCTTTAGGGTCGGTTGATTGGTACCAGACTCGTCTGGGAGGTTAAGAGCATTGAGTTGTGCATCGGCTTGCCACCACAAGTCATTGCATTGACCACATACGCATTCAGTGCGCCTCTACAATTCTGAAAGGAAGTCGAATTCTTGGGCGCAACCCTACAACGTGATTGATCCACTCCTCAATACTTTAACCCTTTTATCCTTTCTGTAACCGTTATCCTATAATAATCCTAGGGGTCTCACATGTCGAAATTGAAAAAATTAAATTGAAATTTGGCTTCACTCGTGGGGCCGCAAGTGTGGGGACTGAACCCATTGTTTCGATGATTCAATCGGACGTCCTTCCAAATTATTCTATTCTTAGGTCATGGTCAAAGATAATCTACATGGCGTCGCAAAATGTTCTTGGTCATATCTGTTCTTCTCTTTCACATACCATACATTCCTGAGCTTGTATTTATTCCAGACCCTCCGAGCGCTGCACTCACTTCATTACAGATTCCCGGAATAAACTCTCTATTTTTATTCCCCTAGTTGTTTATTCTTATTTTACCTGCACAATTGTTTTCTTGACAGTTTCCCATAATCCCTTGAAGGTAACACTCTAGCAGCTGTGTGGACACTTCAATAGAATTCCCCATTATATATCGGGTTCTTGTCTTTGTCAGCAAACAATAATAAAGAATAAACAAACATCGAATGTGAACTTCTCAAGCTTCTAAGGAATAAGGGAGACAAACGTGGTAGTCAAAAAAAAAAAACAAAATTTGAGGAAGTATGTTGCGAAGGAATCACCTGTGGATGAAGACGCTACCGATAGCGAATCAGACGGTTTGGCGAGTTGTGAAGAGGCCGCTGAGCTAGCCTTGACTGAAAAGGATCTTCAAATTAGAGTTGTAATTTTTTGAGCCGATTGAGAGCCAAATTTTAGCAGTAAGAACATTACAAACGAAGCTTGTTCTACAAATTGCAGCACAATTTCAGCTGTATAAGGTGAAGACTGTGTCTGAGAGATGTGCAACTCAGTGAAAAACGAAATAATAGGGAGTATATTCGCATCTCTACTCTCCTGCCTGAAGTGTGCCCACGCCTAATTTAATACTCTGTATGGCAGACTAGGCTGGAAGATTACAACGTGGATTCGAATTGAGAATTTAATAACATTTGCACAGAACACACGTGATCCAACATTGGCAAACTCCTTCTCGACTCTCGAACTCGACAGCGTGGACGCTACACGATTGCTTTCTCCTCCAGTCACACAGGCATACTTTCACCTATTCGCCTTCCTGACGAAAGCAACAGGAAGTTCAACTGTTCAACTTCTGAAGGAAGGTAACGAGTCTCCTTCGCGTTTCCACTCACACGCCAGCGTAATCATCTCGCTTGAACGTATCACTGACGCAGTAACGAAAATCCAGTACGGGTACGCGGTCCTTACTGAGCGAGTGCCTTACGATATTTGTGTTGGAAATGTGTATGCGAGGGCATTAAGCGACGTCAGGATATAGGCAATTGAATATAGATGGGAAAAGACTTCGCCATTGACTCTTTTTCAATGTCCATAGGAAGATGGAAGATGATTCAGTATTTTTCTTTTAAACAATCGGTATAAAAAAGAGCTTCTCATATCAATTACAAACGCTTACCAGTATCGAAGGTACTTGACAGTGGCGTTGGCGGTTGCTGTTGTTCCGGATTGTAACCGTCAGGATGGGGACGAAGCTTCGCAACACCTGCTGATGCTGGTTGCATCGGTGAACGTCGAATGTAGAGCACGCACGGGCAACCTACAATTTTTGTACTAAAAAATGGAAACACTAGAAATACCCACCACCCTTGAACATGCTATGATTAGGCTTGCCAACTTTGCATTAAATAATAAGACGACACACATAAGAGCCCTGAAACAAGAGACAATTAACGTACCATCAGCCAGCTCCTTGATATGAGACGCTTCATGCAACGAAAGCAGCGTGTCTCCATTTACGATTACGTGCAAGAACTTTGTCGTATCAATAGCCGCAGGACCGTAAGTATACAGTAGACGTCGTTCATCACAAATAGTTTGACCTGTGCGGCCCTTAAAAGATATTGCATCAGCTACAACATGAAATAATCTTCAATACCATTTCTTAAGCAAATTCTGTACAGTTAAGCAATCTTGGCGAAAATGGCCTAGGAATAATGTAGGTAAGATTCGGGTTCAACGCCTGGTATCGTACGTAGAAACTCTCAAAGAAAGAGCTAGTTAACTGAAAGATTTTTCGCTCGTATGTATCCTCCCACTGTTGATTGAAGCCAGTGAAAGTTCGCTTGTCTCATGGAAATGTGTTACATTTCGAATAACCTCAAATAAAACTTCATACCCTAAAAATACATAAATAAGAGCGGTCCCTCAAAATCCCTATTTTTCTATATGAACTTTCATTAACTGGGCGAGGTTTAGAGTTGAGGGGCGGAACTTCTTCTAAACTTCTCCGATTTTTATTTATCCATCCATCAAGTTAAAGGGGTTACTGCATTCAATTTCAATTTTTTCCAATTCATTTCTCACCAGTAAATCAAACCGCTCTTATCTATGGAATTTTAGGGTAAATGAAATCTTCAATCGGCTCTGTATAATGACAGATAACTGTGACAGAATGCATACAAGCAATTCTCCCCGAACCCCCATACGTTGACGGGGTCGGTCGTGAAAGGGACCTGATTTTTTGCACACTGCGTTTTTGGTTTTCATTGCCATTGACGCCCTGGGCATCACCAACGTTTTCGTTTTTGAACCCAAAACCTTTTCATCGCAACCTCGTCCCTTCAAGACATTGAGGAGGAATAAAGATAAACGAAATGAAATTGGGTGGCTTCGATTTTTGGCAGGAAAGAACTCACCACAACCGAAAACAGCGAGTACATCAAATATTCGGCTGCTTCTAGCACACGTTTACTAGCTGCTTTGCAGTCATCCGGGGCACTCTGAAGATTCGATGAAAATTCGTCTCCAAATCACAAAAGTGACAAGGTCAAAAACCCAACCAACAAACTTCAAAGACTCACGTCTTTTCTCTTGGATCCAGTAACACCTAACTGTACTGCTTCCGCAACGGTATTCAGCACGCTTTCACACTCGGCTAGAATTGGTGCCGCGTTCAACCATACAGCTATAGAATTATACGCTGCCACTACCTAAAATGTAAAACACGACAGGTAAAGCGCAGTGGCGTATTAAAAAACGAATAAACGGTGGATATAGTAAAGAATAGAACGTACAGTAGAATGTAAATCTTTCGAATGAAGAGGAGGTGGTTTGTTCAGCTGTGTTTCGATGAAACGACACAATGACGCCACAATGAGTGAACCCGTCGAAACATCTTCTAAAACAAATAAGAGTATTCAGAAATCATCGACATTCCTTCGTTATCCGAGTTTGGTGGAGGAGAAAGATGAGAAATGTGGAATAACTGAAGAAGGAAGATAGAATTTCTAGGACTCCCCCCTGTAGGAACCAAAAATCAGAAAAGACAAGCAGTTAAGGTGTTAGCGACCCTCACCATGAGGAAAACTGATAAAGTTCCAAATATAACGAGAAGAAAAAAGAAGCAAACTATCAAAGAAACAATGGCTGGAAAGAGAAGCCAAGCTCATCGACAACGGAAGTCTGTCCAACGCTTCCTAACAACAATGGACCGTGAGCGACAGAGTTCAAATCTGAAGGAAGAACATCAGGTGTAAAACCCACTATTATTGAAAAGCACAGTTGGATGCAAATGTGACAAGCAGTTCAGGACATCGATGGCAGCTAACGACACCGAATGTTCGCCAGTCCACTCAGGTCGACATATCCGATCGCAAATCGCCGACACCAGTCCTCTTACGAATGATACACAGAGTCCTTAATAAGTCAAAAATCAACATGCTAAAGGCGGAAAATGGAAACCAAGAGTAATATCAATACTTCACATTAAGAAACCCTAAAAAGTACAGAATTTTGACTTTATCTATTCGATAAAGTTAGAATTTCGGAAGTGAATGAACAGAACCTTTTTCTGTCGTTTGGTTCCCATGTTGCTGCGCAGCCATTCGAACCATCTCTCGCGTTTGTTCTTCGGTCAGTCCAAGATCAAAAGAACAGCTCTCTTCCATGAGCACCGTGCACATTGCTGAAGAACAACGTACCAGTGGTTGCAAATTAACTCCAGAAAATGTAATTACCAAGAGTTAAATGAAGATTGATAGGATCGGTTTCGTTTCGCAGACTGAAGACTAGAGTCTTGTACACCCTCGAACGTAGCTGCAGATAGGTAGCCGCAGACGATTTCAAGTTCGCACTTTCAGGAAGCTCTAAACGAGAAATAACCTAATACTATGAAAAACTGGCCCTGGAAATGTTGCAGACGGCTTGTAACAAGTATCACAGGACTTACGTGGTATCTTACTCATTCCAAAAGTTGTCGGCCAGCAAACCACTGAAGAAAGACCTCGAAGACATGCTCTACGCACTTCCACTTCAGGAATGGATGGATGAAGTCTGCAGAAGAATTGAATACTTACAAAGAATAAAGTACAGTGTATGTTGCTTAACGGGTGCGGGTTAATTTAACTCTCCACGGAGCTTTCTATTGCTCGACGCCACAGCGGATCGCCTTCTTTAGAGATGCAGTTTCAGCTAGTCTTCACTCTATTTGAATAGCGGCCGAACTAATACTAGCCTTAGGGTACTGTGCTTTGTGAAATCTAGTTAGGCTGCTTTCCAGAAAAAGGAACGCAGGAACTTTGCCTCAGAAAAAGTACTTACGACCGGGCAGGAGAGTTCAGCCAAACCAAAGCACTTTGGACGATCAACAAAAATCTTCAAGATCTTACCTAATCTTTGCACTTTCAATGAGTATGATATCCAGAGCGAATAGGTAATGAGGTAAAATTGCCTCGACACCCGGAAGTCCTAATCGAAACAGATTCTGTCCATAGAAGAATAACGAGCACAGAACAAGTCGATCTTTCTAAAAAATCAGGTACAGGAATTACATAAAACAAAACGTGTGTGCCATGAAGCGCTCTCTGATTATCACAGAACATTGAAACATAAGTAGAGAAATGTATAAAATGAAATAAAAATGAAAACCCCATACCGACCTCAACCAAGGCGTCGTGTACAGCCGAAAGAAATCTTGCCAACTGCTGGTTAGGAAGCTTTTCATTAGTTCGTTTTGAACAGACAATTCTTGCGAGAGCCGCAATTGCTGCCGCTCGACCGGCCGAAACGCCATCGATGCCATCGCTATAGAAAGCGTTGTTCCCTGCTTCATTTTTCGAAGAATCTCCCGCCGTTGATGAGGCAGAACTAGCTGAAAAATTCTTTACCATTTTTGGTAACCTATATAGAACCAGACCAGTCAGAAGGAACCTAGATGGATATATTGGTCATGCAATCGTCTAATGCACTACTTCGAAAAGTGTTATTTCAATAACTTATTCAACTCAGTTATCAAATGTAAAACTAGTTGCAACCTCTGCCGTCGAAGAGTTTCTAGTACAATGAATTACAGATGTGAATTTTTATGAATGAAAGGAGAGCTACTTTAGATTGGCAGGTTTTCCGAAATTTCCCACAAAAAAAGTAGAAGTGTATGAGCGCAGGCGACGACCGGTGAGGCATATGAAACAGCAAGCACATAAAAAAACAGAGAAAAGGTAATATTGGAACAGATTGCACGTGCGGTTTACAAACGGTTTCCAATACAGTCACGACAGACTGGACGTAGCCTGGTGGTGGCGGCCTGAAGGTAGCCATCATTTCCTCAATAAGAATTTTTCATCTCATTCATCTGGAACTGCTATCTTCATTAACTACTTCAACCCAGATCTCGCCCTGAGTGACAGTATTCAATCACTGCCAGTTTTGAAATGATTTAAAGCTTGGAATTACGGAAGCAATTAACGAAATTCATATTCATTTAATCACTATATCAATCTTCCGTCTCGTAATCTTAAGGGGTTCAACAAAGACGTAGTTACAAAAACGGTGTCGAGAGCTTAACACTAAACCATACATCTGCAGCCCGCTTGTCAATCCTGCAATGAAAGTCACACGCTCCCCCGCCATTACTCTTACGATTAGAGGTTTTCGCCATAATTCATAAAGTTTCTGTTGATCGTCCCGCCTCAATACAGGGGCTCATGTGCTAACATTCTAACAGCCACCTCGAAACTCTGCTGTCATGGTATCGTATCCTGTGCTCTCTCAGAGGAGAAGGAATTCTAGGATTACTATGCCATCCAAGCCTACTTTTATTCGAATGCAGAGGTTCTCAACCAACAGAAGCATTGTGGGTTCTTAACTTCTTGCCTTCATTGTAGTGAAAAGTATGTTGAGGAAAAGTGCCGAGTTCAAAGTACAAATGAATGAGATGGGAAATTCTCATTGGGAAATCATAGCTATGACTCCTGGTTGCCTTCGCGAACAGCTTTTAGAATCGTTTATACTCACGAGGTATCTGTCCCAAAATTACCCTTCCTTTGCTTTATATGTGATTTCTGTTTCAGGTTTTTCACCAGTCGAAGCTCCGCTTACGGTCACTCCACTCCAACTTTTTCTGTGATCTAAAAATATCTGAAATTGGAAGGCTCAGAATTGAGTGGGCATTTCACTGATGACTCAAGAAGAAGGTAACTCGGCACAAACAGGCAGTGCAACTGATAAGCGATAATTGATAAAGCTGACGCTTCTGATGCACTTTCTTTGAAGGTAGTGGAGCTGCGATACTTCATAGACCAACCATCTGTTTTACATGGGCCTGCGGATGTTCTATACAAAACACCATATTTTCCCCAAGGTTATCATCGTTGACGTCGGCCCCACGACTGGCTTCAGAAAACGGCTGACGAACTGCACATCGGTACCCATAGGACGTAATGAAGTGAGCAGGGCGAAGGAATGTCCGAGTTCATTATGTCGACCCACCCAATGCATGGTAATTCACGATTGTAGAAGGTATTTAGTTCACGTTGGACATGGGAGTCCTCGTAAGCAAATTCGACCCCATCATCTATTATCACCACTTTCTGTCACCAACGAAGCTGTCAAGGCTCAACCACAAAAACGAAACGCGTACAGTATCGTTACGATTGAAATGATTGTTTTCTTCTATAACCCTTCATCATACCTCATTAATTGCTATTATTTTGTGGACTCTCGATCTGCCATCATTTCAATTCCAACACGAAGCAATGATGGGTCATGGTTCCATGGCACAGCTCACAAAAAGAATGATTTCAAAGAGTTTTCCCAGAATGAACCTCTAACACCTGAGGGCGGCGCAAGGATCTCTGTGGGGCTGAAAAAAAGGTCTAGAAAGGGCGTAAAAGCTGCTTCAAAACTGGCTTAGCCGTCGTACACACCCGAAGAAGGACGAGTTCTCAAGGCCCTTCAAAGGTTGTAGATGTTGCACCATTCGCGTCCGAACACTTACGTTGCACGCAGACACCTTACTACAGCCAGTTGTGCTCAATGACACACACACTTAGAAGCTCGACCAAATATTCTTTCCATGGAACTCACTATTTTGGACAATCACTTCCATTATTTGTCTGGACCTAGATACCCCGAAAGTATCGTGAACTGTGCCTTCAATACGATAGACATAGGGAGCATAGCGGCTCCTTTCAATGCAGGTCCCTATCGACCCCTATCCATCGTTACTACCAGCTTCTGCTACTCTCTAATTACGATCTTTGTCACTCCTCCCATAACAGGTGAAGTGCCAAGAACGAGTACAGAAGGCAATAAAACCGGTGGCTCCTGCCTTTTGTAATCCTTACCATTCCTCCCCAAATATGATTCCCTTATAACAAAACAACGTGCCAACACTCGACAATAATATGAAGGACTACTGCTTTCATAAATATGAAGGACTTTTGCTTCTGCTTATCGGCATTTTCAGCCTTTACCACTTCCTATAAGCAACCATCTGCACATCTGCCACATCCCACATCACACCAAACTAAGGCACCAAAGGACTACTGCTAATGCTAAGGACGCCCCTTGCTATCTTATACCCTTTACCGATCCTAGTCAACCGCTATCCCGTTGTTTTCGCATCAGAAAAGAACTATTATTTGTGACCGCGCCAGTTAGGTCGGTAGCACTTCTGAGACTACTGACCAATGAGTGCAACAGTGGTGCGCATGAAGAAAAATTCATAAGAAATAGAACACAGGACTCTTCCAGTCTTCACGGCTGTGAATAACTCCTATGGGGAATCGAAAGGGCCACATATAGAGGTTTTTTGAAGGACTGACGAAAGATCTTGTTGCGGACGACGTTGAGCATAATCAAACAAATTCTGCGAAGCAGATAAGGCTAGACAGTTAATCAAAGCTAAACAGCGGGATCAAAAGGTTGGAGAGGATTTTGCGCAGAGCTACATGCATTTCATCCTAATGAATGTGAAATGTTACACCAATACCCTCAAGTACTACTAAGCGACGACAGCACCTTGTTGACATTAACTGTTCTTGTCGCCGTAGAACCTTGAATTCTTCCATGTTGAAGAATTTTTAGATCAGTAAACATGAGCCATAGTGGGGACTGCGTCAGCGCAGTGCTAGCAAAACGCTCTTGTTGTTATAATACCTGTGCAATACACTGACACATAACAAAAGGACGAACGCCACTCTCGCGCACACCTGATCACTCCCTTCGTCAAGGTCACTTCGCCAACCCAAACGACCAATTCAGAAAAGAAAACCCAAAGAACTCGTGATTAGAAAGCAGGAAAAAGGAAAACCTTCCCATTCCGAAACAAAAAAAAANAAAAAAAAAGAAAATAAAAAAAAAGTAATTGTAACAATAGTAACGAGTAACCTTACCTATGCTTCTTCTTTTATTACCTCCTCCAGCAATCATTGCCTCTGGCACGTCATCCAAATCAAGCGAGTGCAACGATAGACTCGATATAACATCTAAATAACTGGGGTAACAGAATGAAGGAATAAAACCCCTGCATAAATATTCAAAGGATAACTTTTACATTTTCATTTATTAGGGAACCGGTTTTTTTCCACGCAATACTGTCTCTGAAATCAATTTGAGTCATCTCCTCCGATCGCTTTCTGCACTCTAATCCACTACAATGCAATGACTTCTCTAACTCTTGGGCAATTTGTAGTAGAACTCAACAATTCAAGAAACATCGTCTATTAGTTGAAAAAAGGTAAAAGTCCATGCGACTGCTTTACAAACAAACAATCAAATGTATTATTTGCTGGACGGAAGCGCTTGATGGACAAATGCTCACCGTCTCAGCATTTCTTCAATTCTGGGCTTTCGATTGCTCAAAACTACTTAGCTTGGGTATGAAAATTTCATAGACACCAAGATTAAAAAGCGGCGGTTCCACCGTAAAAGAACATACAGACTTTTAATAAGCAGGTGGAGTTACTTGCCCTTAAATATTGAACCCAACAACAATCTTGTACCAGCAACATTATTCACTCATAAAAAAAGCACTGAAAACCAATAGACGATAGCAACCAGCTCTCACTGGACAAACCAAATGTTGTAGCTTATTGAGAAAGAAGTAGGTTTCAAAAGAGCAGTGCCTGTCAATGAAACAATTGGGTATAGAAACTGTGCCCGAGCCATTCTCCGGCACTGAAATTGGTATTCTGGGCCTTACAGGAAATTCGCTGTTTTGGAAAACTACTGATGGGCATTTCTGTGTTTTACTTTTATGAGAGTGATTTATTCTTTTCCAAACCCAGTACAACACGATGTGACAGTCCCAACTTGTTATTCTCCCCGTTGTTATACCTCCTGTGAGTCAGACTTCAATTTGGCGAACTCATAAAGAGTGAAGAATAGATGATTGTTCACTCACATAAATCAGAATTCTGGACGCAATTCACAGGAATTCCTCGGAACATTCTGTTTGACCTGATTTTTCAGCGGTGCATAATAATAGAATACAGGAGAATGTCAGAAACACCAATGAGGAATGTCCAGCATAGAATTCATCGTTTTGTTGAAGATGACCAAGGAAACCTCAAAAGGCACAAGTTGGTGAGAACACCCGGTAGGATGGCGAGTGGAGGGAGGGAGGGGATATTGCCAACGAGACTACCATTAGGCCAGAACCAGTTATGGTCGTGTGGCCGTGAATGCGAATAGAATTACACAATTGCTCATCGTTTCATGATAGAAGCAATTTTCAGAGCCAACAAGTGGCGGGAAAGTATAAAATTCAAAGCAACCTAGACTGTAAGCAGTGGCTAGTAGGGCTGCGAAGTGAATCTGCTCAGTGTTTACACGCCCTCAGACCGGATTCTATGAATGACATAGTATTGCTGCATTGAAATCACCAACATTCGTATTTACACCT